AAGTTTCAAAGTTCTTGTCAATAGGAATGTATGTTGGATTTACAAAGCTTTGAATCTTATATATACCTCATTGCACAACATGTCAATATAACAAAAATATAATTTTACGTAAACTGGAACAAAATTAGTCTCACAAGATTATTCGTAACTATACAAGTTGTACTAAAAATACAATTAACGTATTAATAACTAATATTTGGTTGGTCTTTCTTCGCATTTCATAATATGTATATGTTTAACTCATTTATTTATATATTAACATACACAAAAATATTATATTTCATAATAATACAAGTAACAGAAAGACAATGAATTTAATCCTATTCTGATTTTTAGTTCACATACAATCGAAGTATAATTGAAAAAGTGGGAACACCAGAAACGATGTTTTTGTACTTTACGTAATTAAATCGAGAAAGACTGAACAAACATAACGTCTTAAAGAAGATAAAGAAATAATTGGTTCGGAGGAGACCCGAACACTCTAACGGTATGAAAAAGAAGAATGTTACGACATTAATCAAAGAGAAACTCATTAATTCAAAGAGAAACAATTTCTTTGTGTTATATTAAATTCCACGTTATCGATGTTAAAGTAACGGAAGTCACTGTTCAAAGTTTTTAGCCGGCGGCCGTATTCAGTGAGAGTTTCAATGTAATAACAGCGCTTTCGTTACGAGTTCCGCGACAGTCTTTCTTTTCTTATGAAGAAACTTCTTTCGGTTCGTCGACGAATTTATTCAATTTCCCCGGTGAAACTGCCGACGGTTGATCTCGTTCCGCTGCTCCCCGGTAAGTTCAATTTTATTGTATTCGAGATATCGGAATCTCGCGCGTCAAAAACAAATGTCTCGGACGGTACCAGCGAACGCAACGCCATGCTGTGGTTCAGATTATTCGATTAGAAGCAAAAAATCATTGATTTTATTGGTTACAATACTATTTTCTAGGAACTTTTGCATTCGACATAGAATACGACTAATATCGAGTGGATAGGATTATAGAGTTTCATAGTTAGATTACACTGGTCTACAAAATTTAACTTTGATTTTTTTCGACAGAAGGTTTAATGCAAGATCTTAATAGTATTTCTCATGCTGAATTCGAATATACAATCCATTTTCCCCATCACCTACAGTTTTTGAGAAAATCAATTTTGAAAGAAAAACTCAATTTTCCAATTTTAAACGTTTGCTGTGTGTGGTACTATTAAGATCACTCATTAAACCTTCCATAAAAAAAAATCGTATCAATTGTTATTATATTGTTGAATTGTAGGTACAACATTCTTAACATATTAACACTAGAATTACTATAAAATGACGGGTTTTAGTTGTTTTACTTCGTAATTATTAATGTCGTAAAAGTGTTAAATACCTGAAATGCTTTGAAAAATGAATAGCTTCACTTCGATACTACAATCAATATATGAAGAAATCGGAAAAAATCGAACGTTACAGTTTTTACAAGAATTACATATTAATCATGTTAAACGGTCAGTAGTTCTAGTGTTAATATAATCCTTCATGAGTGACTCAGAAGAATAGTATTCAAACTCTTATTTCTGAATTCTCGAGAAAAAGAATCTTCTGTGAAGTGTTCTTGGATTAATTAAATACAGATATTACAATTACCCATATTAATAAGTAATATTATTATTGGCACTGTGATATTAGTATTTCATTCCTCTAAAAACATTCTGCAAAAACTTTTTTTATTCAGTCTAATCTATCTGTCATAAAAAAATTAATGATAGATACTACACAAAATGTTTAAGATCTTTGTATTATTCTTAATAATTTAGTAATAACAAGAAGAATTCTACATTCAGTATTATTCTACGTTTGCTACTTTTATTTATTCTTTCATAATAAAGATAGATGGTATTAGAAATAATTATTATTTTATATCGCAAGTTCTTATATTACTTTCGTTACTAAATATCTTTATTCGACATTAGTCGTCTCATTGGGATTGTCTTTAAACAATAATCATTAATCAAACATGTTATTTTCAACTTGAAAGAGAAAAATAATATGTAGATTTGGTAAATTCAATTTCAAAACTTCATCGCTAGTCTCTTTCGATATTGTAAAGCAAGGTGTTAATTGTACGATCTGGATCACTGTGTGCAGGATCGTTTCGGCCATCGAGCAATCTCAAGCGATTTCGAGCATCGCCGCGTTTAAAGCCGTTTTCGAGATAGAAAATGCCGGTCATGAAATTTAAAACGCTATACCGTGTCTCGTTTGGCTCTCGATCAAAGAGCAACAGATAGGCGGGGATCCGGAACGCCGCTGGAATTCGAGGGAATCCGGAAACCGTTTAAAAAACGTTCCGGAAGCGAATAAGTATCTCTCGAGGACTTTCCTTCCGTGCAACTTCTATCTCTCACAATGAGGACCGTGGGATGGATAAGAGAGAAAAAAGAGCGGAGAAAAACCGGTATCTACTTTCTCTTCGGTTGATGCACAAACCTTTGGAAAGTTTGTTCTGCGTTCGATTCTCGTGGAGCGTAAAACCGCTAACGTTTCGTGTGGAAAATTGAACGCGTCTTGATTACTGTTGGTATTGCTGTTGGCCGACTAGGAATATTGATATTAGAGAGATTGGAAAGGAATTCATTATTTGTAGTTCCAACGAAGATCTTTAATACTTCTGGTCAATTATTAAATATTAATACAAGAATTGAACTTCGAAGAATAGATCGTTGGTAAACTTTTCTTAAAGAAGAAAGGTGTTATCTTTTAAATTGATATTTAAAAGTTTGTATAGAATAATAAAGATTTCACTTGAGACTTAAAATAATGAAATTCTTTCGAGAACGCCAAATATGAGATAAAATTTTCTTTGTGTAATTTACAAAGGGTGGAAATTTGCTAGTTTTATCGTACGTTCTATGTTTGCAGGAAAATGTATGTGTTACATGCATATGCAAAGATTCATTTCTGATCTAAAAGGATGGTAGTTTCAAAATGAATCACGGATTTGATCAAATTGAAACGAAATTATTGTTCCTAGTGTTTTATATATTTGTGCCCATAGAAACGCACAATATAAGTACACATTGAAAAGTTTGCGCTTTTTTTCAATATGCACACTGAAAACATTGGTTTAATGTTAATCTTATAATTCTTTTTTGCGACACTTTCCACGAATTCAAATAATTACTTTAATACGACATAATAATAATAACTAATTATATGTGCAATTATTGATTATGTAACAATTATGTTATTATGTAATAATTAATTATATAAATATATGTATAATTGCATACTTAGTTATTAACAGAATCATTAATTGTTATATAATTTTGAGAAAAAAATAATTCTTACAAAGAAAGGTATCGAACCCGGAAATTCAAAAAATTATGAAATTCTGTCTGTAAGTAGAGTAAGTCAAGTTTGATACATTGCAATTCATTTTCGTTTGAAATTTCACTTTAAAAGGATAAAACTACCTTTTTGAAGAAATGCAAATTTTTCTTTTCGGTCGATTATCTTGAGCATGGTAAGAGATAGCTGAAAAAGATTTCAATAAAAAATGCATTGTTCTTTGTATCATGTTTATAAAATTGCAATATAAAATTTTTAATAAATGTTGAAAACTTTTATTTTACAATTTTATAGACATGAAAAAACAATGTGTCTTTTGTTCAAATTTTCTTTTGATATCTTTTATCGTCCTCAAGATAACCCAGGGAAAAGAAACGTTTGCATTTTTTTCAACGGGTGGTTTCACCCCTTCAAAGTGAAATTCGACACGAAACAAAAATTGCAATGTATTAGGTTTGTTTTAGTCTACTTACACACAAAGTTTCATAATTTTTTTGATTTTCCGGGTTCGATACCTGTTCTTATTAGTTATAACCCAGTAAGTTTATCTATTTAAATAACTTTGGAGCAAAAGATGTAGCACAAAAGCGACCGGAGAAGTTTCCAAAACGTCACGAATCACCATAGACACAAAAAATTGATGGAAGGCAACCTGTCAGGGGGCATTTCACTAATGATCAATGACTACGAAGAATCGCGGAGCTCCGCCTGTCGATCTTCGCGAAACTTCTTTCCCTTTCATGCGCCCAGATAAGCATAAGAAACACCGTTTGCGACACACCATCCTCCCCAGAGTCCTCTTCCCGCGCGATTTATCGCGTCGCGGTCCCAACACGTATCCCCCGTGTAAAATACAGGGTTTTTCCGAAATCAGAGTACATCAAGGAAAGGAATTCCATGTGAAAAACCAAACAGAAAATACAAAACAACACTTTCTCGCACGACATTTTATTTTTGAGATTATGTGTTTGAAAATTAGCCAATTGCCCGTACTGTTCAATAGAAATTAGTTAACACTAATTTTACCGAAGGTTTTGATTTTAAAATTGAATTAAAAATATTTTCCAGGTTTAACCATTTCTCATCAGTTGACTTTACTTTTCATCTTTTATAATGATTATAAAATTAATGTATACCTCTGTATCAATTTTATAAATATTATGGTCATTACTATGATCATTATAAAATTAATATACACCGCTAAATTAATTCCTTGATCATTATATGAAAAGTCGAAAAGTTAGTCGAGGAAGAATAATTAAACATAGGAAATAATTCTAAGTTTACACCTTCGGTAAAAGTCATGTTAATATAATATTTCCCCATGATTCCTAATTTCCACTTGTTACAAGCGTCAGTACGTGGCCGTTGGATAAAATTTCGAAGTTGATTATCTTGAAAATGAAATTTCCTTCTATGAGAAAATTTGCTTCTTTGTCAGGCATATTTTTACATGTAGATTCACTGTTTTCCTGGTTGCAGCTCGATTTCGGGGACACTCTCTATGTAGATACGAAACGCACTAGATCTAGACCTGTAGAATCTTAGAACCCGTAGAGACGAAAGTCTGTTGGCATGCGCATGTCGTTGCTTTCTTTTGCCTTGCGGATCACCAGAAACCGTAGACGTGTGCGTGTCTTAATCAATCTTTGACCTTGGTAGCTCGATCTGGTACTCAACTCTGAGGAGGGCGGTGACTTGTCCGATTTCATCATGAACGGGGAATGGTACCTCATCGGTGAGTTTCTCTGAACGTAAGTTTGTTAGGGCAGCTTTGTAAGATATCTACATACGTCGCCACGCGAATAATCATGGACGTTTTGAATCGTTTTGACGAGAATCTGGGATTATTTGTGTAACGGAGATGCGGAGATACGCGAGTTTCGAGAAAATAAGAATAATGAAAGAATAACGGCAGAATGAGAATGATTTGGAAATCTTTTCTTGTGCATTAAAGTGAGAGTACAACTAGTGTTTAATTAAAGTAATCGATTTTACAATTTTTAATGTTTAATATAATATTATGTATTCGATAAAGTATAACCGTGAGGAATTTCCTGTGGTAAATTTAAAAAGAAAATAGTGTTTCTGTAATGGAATATTCTTTTTTGCAGACGGAAAGTACAAATTTGTTTGATGAGAAATGAAGTTTTGTTATATATTTGACGTTACGCCTTTTTTTTATAAACCAAGATAATTTTTAGTTTGTTTTAATGAAATAATATGGAAAGTTGTGAATAATGGTCGCAATACAGGTATAAAATATTTCACATATTTCAAATCATCTTATTTGATTCATTTCGTAGTTTATATTTAAAATGATTTTTTCGTTCATTGTTCATTTTTTCCAATCATTGTTCCGTTAACAAATACATAGAATCAAAATAGCTCTTATGTAAGGGTTGTTTAAATAAATTGTCTACGAATTTAATAGCGTATACTATTTACTGAAAAAATCAAATGCATAATACAGACTGGCACATGAATATTATAAAATAAATAGTAATTTTCATTTATAATTAATCAATTGTTATCTCGTTATTCAATCAGTTAAAATAATAGTGATTTCATTGTAAATACTCTGCATAGGTAATTATTAATAATATCTACCAGTATTATACTTGGTGATATTTTGTTGTGATTCCTTTTTTGAATTCATAATTCTTTTCTAAAAGTACTCTTCATGGATTCCTAATGTATTGAGAGTATTAATGAAATCGGCAATGAATTAAATTCCAGGAAAAAAGGTGCAGAAGTAGCCGCCATTACAGACCACTTGTTCAATCGGCGATTGCAAACACCTGTACGTTTTCTCATTATGTCATTTTAATATGTACTTCAAACTCAATTTACGCATTATTCGAAAACCCTTCGGTCGGCATTCTCCAATGCGATTGCATTGTAAATCGTTGCCTGACATGGTCTAATACCGTTAGTGGATTATCGAAAATCCATTTTCTCTTTTACATCGATCTAAATGCATTAATGAACTGCACAGTACGATGTGATATTTAAATGTCGATCACAGGACTATACTTTTTTACTGATATTTTTAATATCATGTAAAAATTACAGAAGAATATATGTTTTGGTACTTCTGTTCCATTTTACTGATACAAAAAGGTATAAATAAATTAGACTACATAATAATAGAATAAATTAAAATACGCAAATAATAATTCAAAATGCAATATTAAAAATTGATGAATTATATGTTTTCCGACATGTTCACATTTTTACTAATCCTCTGATGAGTATAATATTATCTTTGTAAGTGGTCTGTAATACGGTATTTTGAATAATTACTTCATTCGAGGAAAATGAGATAAAAAATTATTATTATGTTTATTGTTGTATTTATGGTTGGATAAGTGTATCTATCTAATTTTACTTTTCATAATCTTTGTATAACTATGTTTTTATTTCTTAAAAGATGAACAATGCCGTAAAATTTTGTTAAAAATTCGCTTATTTCTAATATTGTCTTTTAAGAGCTGCACATTATGTGGTTTTCGCATAAAAAAAGAACTGTAAGATGTTACAGATATAGTTGAATGTATTTTATAATCTGTATTACCATTAATGTAACAGCAACTACTGCAATTATGCCATAACGAACGTAAAATAACATTGTACTCAACACAGGCTCGAGAGCTAGTAGTATCAGTCGACGTACAGTCAAACACGGAAAGCAAACTTCACATTATAGTCAGGATGTATATAATTTAGTTACAAGTTTTCATAAATTAGACATTATTCTATCAAAGTAATTCAATGAAAATAATTGTATTAAAAGTAATAATAAAAAAATAACTATATGAAAACTCTCTGTAGTAAAATAACTCTTTCTATACGTTTAATAACAAAACTTTTTAGATTATATTTCCTGAATTTTTATTTTTTATTACTGAATCATTCGATTCTTCTTTTTCATCTCTACCTAATTCTTATTTTTACATGGAATTAACAGGGAAATACTTATTTCTGTAGTGCTTGTAGATTTATAAGAATACTGTCATAAAATTCGAAACTACGAAAACTGGATTGTCATAATAATTCGATACTTTCTATCGTATCTCGAAAATCGAAGAAATCAAATCACATCATTTTTCACTAATATTTTGCAATTTTAATTTATTATTTACAATGGTTACAGTGGTTATAAGTTTAACAAAGAGTATAGTCTTCTCTCCTTCTTAATTGCAATTACTTTTAATAAAGAAAACTTTTCGATATTACGATCAGAGTGTAATTACAAAATTCATTTAATCATTCCTTTCTATCTCTCCACAATCTTATGCCAAAGTTTATCTACAGTAATATACAGTATCCATGCATTATAATCTCAAGACAGATTGAAATTGCTTACCGCGTTCGCTAATTGTGTGACATATTTGTCACGTCCGTAATCCTATATTTTACATTAAAAAAATGAAATGGATCATGTGGATATTGCTATCTTACCCTTTCGAGACTATTGGGACAGATATATCTCAGTCAAGTAAATGTAGACGTTACCATATATGTCCCAGACTGTAACTTTGCACAGAAGTAAAAAAAAATTAATTTTGTTGCTTTATCCTATTATTTTAAATAAATTTATTAACTGAATAAATTTATTTTCCTAAAACAAAATCTGGGTCGACATTTATAAGGTACAGCATTATATTTAGGAACTCAATGACCCGTTTTACATTCTTTTTTCAATATTTTGTTTAGAAGATTCGTTGCATTGAATAAAATACTACAATCGAGAAGATCGTCACCGAAGCAAATGCTGGTTGCGAGCGTGTTAAACAGAAATAAGTATTTCTCTACAATTTGACCATGAAGGTATTTCTTAAATTGTTGCAACACTTGGTACGACAGCGTGAGAATGATCACCTCCACCGAGATGCTATTGCAAAGTGGATGATTCCGAGCTTCGCGTAAAATCGTGTACTTCACCTTTGCACTTTGGCACTTCATATTCCTCGCATCGTTCAGCGCTGTCGGCGCGTAAAGGAATGCTGATAGAAGTCTTTAAGAAGAATTGTCCATGACGCTGCAATCACGAGGACGATCTCGCGCATGAAAAGACTTCGCAGCTGCTCTTTCGGGCATTCCATAAACTGTTCGATCGATGCTGCGATTGAACGACCGTGGAATGACTGGATTCACGCGGTTGTGCCTGATTCGACGTTGTGCCGTGACTATAAAATCGTAGAATGATCCTTCCCCGCGTCTAACGTCAACGTTTCTTTACAATTTAACTTTCAATCTTAGCTGCCTTCTACGGCACACATTCTTCTGTGTCGATTCACAGAATTTTGCTCGTAAACAACAATTTTTATGAAGCTTCGAGGAAATTATTTGACCTCCTAAGTGAAAATAGGCGAGCCGGAATTTCGACTGACGTAGGTGAAGAGAAAATAGAGATCATTTATTTGAATAAGCTTCGATTTTTTTTTACACTTGTCAAAGTTATATATTTGCGTGTATATATTCTATTATTCCATCTATTCGAGGTTATCTATTATTGAGTAATTATGTTTGAGATAACTTGATTTCATTAAAATCGTCAAATATTTTTAATTTTTCTATGTCGTATATTGAATTTCTACAGAAATTTATTTAATTGTTCATTTTATATAGATATTTATATTCATAAATATATTTTATTTTTCATTAGGTATTAATAATATTTAGGACATATTAGTATTTTTTTATATTGAAGTTATCTGTTTACATATACCCGTTCTAAATATTATGGAATTTAATGTATTCGAAGGTGCTAAATACGGACATTTATCTATGGCTGTAAGGCCATTTCATCATTTTTCAAAATTAATTCGCAGTATGCGATCAATTTTAAAGACACATCGATTTATGAACTACCACTTATTTGCTTTTGAACTTTCCACGTATTTCAATCTGTTTAATTAACTTCGAAAAATATTAGTAATCCTATGAATAATGCGGTGTTTGCATACTTCTTTTGTCTTTAAAAATTCAAATAACCGGAACTTCTTTTCATCGCTGTAATTAGAGTTAAAAAAGTTTTGCTTATCTTAATTTGTTAAAGTAAAAGAAATGTAAAACAAAACCGCAATATTTATGAGATGACCCAATATATGGCAATATAAACATTCTCGTATTGCCCGTGTTACATCATCATTAAGATTTTCGTAAGTCACTTACGAAAAATTTTGTACGGGATGAATTTACTTGTAAACCATTTATTACGTAAAAGAAAACCTTCCAGACGAAAGTTATTTGATATCAATCATATCAACAGCATTTCAGCTCCTGATGTCAAACAACTTTTGCCTCAAACATTTTTGTACCCAACAAATAAATTTTGGTGGCACGATTAAACGGCTCACCCTGTATACGACAAACCAACAAATAATTAAACACTTTATCTAACCTCTGGCCGAGACAATCACTGACTAACTACCAGCACAGTCCTCGTAATCGCATAGGACTGTACATTTTTACTTGCAAATCTCTATAACTTTTCTTTTGTTTTAAATCTTTTAAATCAGCGTAATTTGAATGGGTTGCCGATTGTTCAGCATTTGAAATCGAAAAGACGATTAATTTTTGTATGATTAGTAACATAATTAGGAATTTTGTTTTTGATTATAAAGATTTGATAATGAGCTTGCGGTAAATAAAGTGTTAATAAACAAGTTAGGAAAGATGATCTTTAATCGTAAGAACGTCCTTGCTTATTTAATCCATCAACAGCTTTGA